ATAAGCCGACGATACACAATAGCAACTGACTTTGGTCTGGTGTTCAGAGTGAAGTGAGGTTGTTCGCGCCAAAAGTTGGCTTCTACTCCAACGGCTAAAACCATGAAGTGCTCTAGTCAGTGGCGCGTATGTTAAAATAAAGATACAAAATGAATATATTATTATTATGACAAATGAGTTTGAAATAAACATAGATGCGAAACGGAACAATAATAGTCACATCATATTTATGTTTAATGAAACACCCTGTATATTTTTATGTTCTTACAAGCTCCTAAATGCCTGGTTCACATATTCCAGTAGCATTCCAGTCGAGTGATGGAATGCCACTGGAATAAGGTGAACCTGCACTGGAATGTACCATTCCAGTGATCAATCCAGTCCAGTTGATTGGAATGATGGTCTATTTTCTATCCCAGTTCGCTCATTCCAGCGCCACTGGAATAGTGTGAACGGCTAATCCAGTGTTTGATTACAGATTGGACCGGCCATGAAAGCATTGTCACTATAGTGTTACTGATCTTACAGCTTACCTTGACTGACTGGAATAATGTGGATGATATAATCCAGTCAGCACTAGACTAGATTAACGATGTGGATTACTGGACTAGAATAATGTGTAACAACCTCATTTCAACGAACTATATTACATTATATGTAGGGTCTGTTATGAATAATAATAGGTAAAATTTTGAAATTATGTATAATTTTTGTCAAGAAATTAAATACATAAAATTTTGAAATAATAATTTATCACGCTTTAAATAATGATATTTTCTTAAATTTGCTAAATTATAAAAATCAATAACTAAGTAATCAATATATTGGCATTTGTATTTAATTTCTATATATAATTTGTTGAGATCAGGTTGTTAAGAAGAAAAATGTTAAAATATTCAGAGTGTTTCATTAAAATAACGATGTTAAACTATTCTAGACTTGCTTAAATCACCATGTACATACATTTAAATTGACAAAATGACGGTATTAGATTTTGATTTGATACAGAGCAGCGACAAGCCGCATATACGTATTTCGACCTCTTTAGGTCTCCTGAGTACGGTATAGCCACTACTCCGTATCGAAACACAATCTTTTCCCGTCGTAGACCATAGTTAGACGACGGGAAAAGATACTGAAAAGGTACCGAGGAGACCTAAAGAGGTCGAAATATGTATATGCGGCTTGTCGCTGCCCTGTATCGAATCAAAATCTAATACCGTCATTTTGTTTATTTCTTTACTTCGTTTGGAGTACCAGAAATTGAATTCACTACGAATTTTGGCCGTGATGAACGGCATTTGGAATGCAATCTTAGATTCCCTTGCCGATTTATTCATCAAGCTGTTTGCTTGGCGAATGGATTTAGTGTCCGCAGTCATTTAAAAACAAACAAACAAGCTGTTTGCTTTGCAAATTTTAGAAAGAACGGTGGCTGAGATTTGAATTCGATTTCGCCAGGTAGAAATCGTATGATTTCTCTTTTTGTTATTTAAATTCACCTTTAAAAAGGCCACATTTATATTTAAAAGTTGACGTGTCCCAGTGCGTTTTATAATGACACAAACAATTTTATTCCATGAGTGGTTACCACGCTCTATATTCCGTTGGCGTGTATTATAAATTATTCTTAGCACACTTAATAATTAGTTCAAAATTTCTCTTCTGAGAAAGCTGCATCGAAAAATGTCAAATTGATGATATTATGTGTAAATTAAAAAATACTGTTCCATGTTTTATTATGGCTTTTTTGTTATATTGTAATAACGTTTAATCTGTAATATACCAATTTTTATAATATTAAAATTGTTCTCTGTAGTTCTTGTAAAAAGCTCTTAACTAAAATTCCGGTGCTTTTTAGAATCATGTTTAAAAAATGTGTTTAACTTAGTCACTATAAATAAATTTTTAAACAATGTTTGCTGTCTTAAAAGCCGTTTGTTTTTCTTCGTAAAATATACATATTTGTTATTAATTTTGACTTTTATTTATTTTTTAAGTAAAACCTGCCTAACCTGAAGTCCAGGAAATTATTCTCAACAAATATTTTTATTTTTATAGAAATATTACCAAATCATCTTTAAGAACGTCATGAAAACAATCAGCAACCGCAGTCCTTGCCGGAAGCAATTAAAAAGGCTGTCAGAGTATGAGACTTGCAACTAATATATTGCACATATGTTTTGAAAATAAGTTCTTAGTTTTAGTTACCTTAAACGAGTTAAAAGCAAAATGTGAATTGCTCACAGTAACCGCTTAACGCACAGATTTATTTGCAAAAATACGTCACAAAATTACAGTACAGTATTACAGTAAAATAAACTACGAACAATACTAGTGTCACTAGATGTAATCTAAAGTAAAAAAAGGCAAATCTTATTAGAAAAATATAACATATTAAATACCGTCATGGGCTCACCCGAGTTAACTCGGGCCTAATCTTTTTATATCAAAAATACTACAAGTAAGAGAAGAAAACCACAATTCACGTATTTTTAAATATCGGTAACAGTATGATACACTCTAAAACAAGGAGTGACACACGGAGGTATGTCACAACTCACAGTCAGGGCAGAAATATCTTGTTTCTCTTCTAACCTTCTTTCCATGCGCATTTAGAACTCTACTACATACTCCACATTGACGAGTTGGATTTTGTTTGTTTGCAGGTTGTCATTCAAATATTATTCTGGGGTAGTGTTATTTTCAGTGTTAACGAGCGCTCCCAGGTATGCAAATTCGTTAACTGCTTCGATGACGTCGTTGTCTATAACAAGTGGCCGTAGGATTTGGGGTTGCTTTATTATTTTCATGTGGGTACTTCCTTTTGTTTGTGTTTATTATTAAACTCATTTTTGTAGCTGATTATTTGAATGCTACATATGTCTGTCGTACAACGTTTTAATGCGTTACATGAAAATGAAGTCTACATAGGATATTTCTTTTGACCTCATCCGGTACGGACTCTATTTAATATCACCCCATTGTCTTACAATTCAATTAAAATCCTTAGACCAGTTGACTAGAATTGTTTGTCTCAAAGTTGTCAAATATTATGAATCTGAAAGTCAGCAGCGGCGAGTTTCTGAATTTTAGCGTATTTCTTTGTAAGTCTAGAATATCTTGACTCCAGCTTAATTTTCTGTGTGCCATTTTATCATGGAGATGAAAACAGTATACCTACTTCAATTTTGCCAGCACTGAAGCACATCTATTTTTTTAAATATTTTTTCTGTCGCAAGTGAATGTATGTCTAGTCGCAAGTGTTACATCTTCAGTATAGCAAAATTGGTGAGTATTTGTATGTGGAAGATCCGAGATGTACCTACTTACATATTAAAAAAAAATGGTGCAAGAACTGAACCCTGCGAGAGCTCATGTTCAGTTTTCTTACTTTGTTTTGAGGCAATTCTGAAAGCCAACTACGATATTGCTTGGATTGTTAATGCTAGTACCTGTTCGAAACAGCTCCGATTTAATCCAAAACCAGCTTGTTCCGCAGGTAGTCTCTGTAAGATTTTTCCAGCGATTCTATTATATAAATAAGTTTTTACAAAAGTTTACAGGAACATATTAATAAATAAGTATATGAGTCTGAAGTTCTCTGGTTTGTCATTTGATTTGCCATGTTTTAAATTGACGCGACGATTATCTTTGCTTTTTTGAACTCCTTGAGGAGATTACCACCATGATTAAAACAGCCTACGCAACCACGCCGTAGCTTTGGATCCCATATTAATTAAAAATGTAATATTATGTTGCATACATTTCTATAAGAAATGTATCCCAGTGTTGCTAAGCCACTGGTAGCAATTAACTTATATTTCTTCACATATTAACTTTCTCCGACAAATTCCCAAAATTTCCCTGTGAGAAAGCATTCAAAAGGTGGTTTTATTTACCTCTGTATAGGAATCTCGAAGTTGTCCCACGCAAACCCCATTGTAATCAGAATTTTAAGTATTCAGTATCGTTGTAGTATTCGACCAAGTGGGTCAACGCATTCCTTGGTTATAATTGGTATAACTCACGTGTAGCATTCAGTGTCACATATTAGTTAGTATCGCATTCTTTGTTCAGAATTTCAAACGTCGCTTAGTTAAGTATTTATCTAGTTATTGTTACATAGCTTATAATTAAAAGCTAAACGCTCATTCTTAATCAGTTATATTAATATTGAAGAGAACATGCTTCCTAGATATTTTCTTAATTCTAGTAATATTCAATCATTAAATTACGTATTGTTTAAAATGCTTGGGTTCTCATTTTCCACGCCAAGTGGGTGGTCCTTCGATTTGGAAATAATTACATGATTTAGTACGCTCTAATGGTAGGAAGATCGCCATCCTAATTTTTTGAACGAATGTCCACTTAATTCTACCATATGTAGTCTATCAAACCCGAGAGATTTACCCATTTTTAAATACATTGTTGCGTCTCAACCTCTTCCATGATAAAGGTCTACCAGAGACTGTTTATATCTTTTGTTTCCCTTATTTAACTTTAATAATATGTGTATTTTACGGGATATAGCTCGGGATACGTTCACTGTTTTACTTTTTTACAGAAATACTTTAGCCTTTCTACTAAATATATGAATAAATGAAAATAAACCGGCCCTGTTAAATTTATTAAAAACGATGTTATTATGGATACAGAGGTACATCTATTTTTATTCTGTTTTCATTTTATTTTTTGATGTAATTATTTACCCTATCGTTGCATCATGAAATTGTGCAAACTTATTTATTACATATTTCGAGAAATTTTAAAATTGAAAACACCATAGGGGACAATCAACAGATTAAACAAGGTTATCAACACAACGATAAGTTATTGGCCTATTACAACTTTAACGTCATTCTCTCGAATGTGATTGGTCAGCAACATGTGTTGATTAATTAACCTCTTTCACAAGAATCAAAGAAGTCAAATTAAGTTATTTAATTCCAAGAGTATTAACTTGGCCACCATAGGAAAACTTGGAAAATTAATCAAAGATGTCAAAAAATGTGCTAGTTGTTGGTGGCGGAGGCCGTGAACATGCTATAGTTTGGAAACTTTCCCAAAGTACAAAAGTAAACAAAATATTTGTCAGCCCAGGTAGCTATGGAATTCAACAGGTGGCAAAAGCCGAGTCGGTAACTTTGGGTATTAAACAATTTAAAGTGAGTAGATATGTACATAATTTCTTTTAAAATTAGTGTTAAATATTTAATTTTAATTATATTAAGATTTTTGTTTAACACCTTGACTGCGTCACGTATCCCCAGGGGCATGTGCGTAACTTTTCAAGTGTGCTGTAGCAAAATTGGTCAAAACGCCGCCTCGTGCGGTAGCGATAAAAATGGTATTTGTATATCGTTTTAAGTGTAACAAATAGCCATCGATAACAAATTTTTAATTCTCGCTACTGATAACCGTAATATGAGACATGCCCCCAGAGACACGTGCCGCCCATAAACAAAAATTTATTATTACCATGCGTCACAGAACCCGAGAGGCATGTGTCATTCTTTTCAACTTGTCGGTGCCTGTCGCTGTATTATATATATTCAGTTTATTAGAGTTCATTAAAGTGTGAGCAGTACTTGTGAAAATGTCGAAAAGGGCAAGATATATGGTGGACATAGTGAAACAAAAGATGATTGAAGTTGCAAATGAGCAAACAATTAGTGATTGTAAAAACTTTGGAGAGAGTTCTGAAACGAATACTATGTTAAATGAATTAAATGATAATACAGGGTTCATTGAAAGTTATGAAAATTCTAATAATGAAAATGAACAAGAGTTAATACAGACAGAAATAGTAGAACACGAAATGGAGAATGAGCAGGGTGATGAACACGATATGGAGACCGAGCAGATAGCAACTCAATTTTCATCTGATACTGACAGTATCGAAGATCCCTATGACAGTGACGATTCATTACTAGATAAAAGTTATTTACCTAAATCTTCATCATCCTCCGATTTAAATGCGTCTATTGATAGTGATGGCGAAATTAATACTACAACATATGTACAAGTTCTATCTGATAATAATGAACAGGGTGTTGAGAGTAGTGGTAGTGCTGAATGGTGCGATTTAGAAGAAGATGTAGATGGTGACGATTTTGTAGTAAGAAAGAATACATTAGTTGATATTGAACCACGTGCAGTACAGAAACCAATAGATGTTTTTAATCATTTTATAACAGATGAAATATTGGATATCATCGTTAATGAAACCAACAATTATGCTGTTCAACAATTAAGTATGCAACACTCAAGAAAATCCAGATTAAATTCATGGACAGCCACAAACAAAACTGAAATAAAAGCCTTCCTAGGGGTAATAATCGCAATGGGTCTCACTCAGGTACCACATATAAATTTATATTGGTCTAAAGATGATATTTTTTATAATAAATTTATTGCAAAAGTTTTAAGTCGAGATCGCTTTTTGCTTTTATTGAAACTTCTTCATTTTGAAAATAATGAGACATCTGATACAACTAATAGATTATACAAAATAGAAAATTTAGTTACAAAGCTGATTCAAAATTTTCAAAGAATAATGGAGCCTGGCAACATTCTCGTTATAGATGAATCTATGGTACCTTTTAGAGGGAGACTCCATTTTCGTCAGTACATCCCTAACAAGACTCATAAATATGGAGTGAAATTGTACAAACTCTGTTCACCTGAAGGCTATACTTTCAATATAAATATTTACACAGGGAAAAATGAACAACAACCAGTTAATGTGGCACACTCTGAAGCAGTTGTTCTAAAATTACTTCAGTGTATCACAAATAAAGCTGGCAAAATATTATTTGCTGATAATTTTTATTCAGGAATTCCTCTTGTTAAAAGATTGTTAGCAGAAAATATGATGTACTGTGGAACTCTGAGAGGAAACAGAAAAGGAATACCACCTATTTTTAACCAGTCCAAAAAGATGAAGCGAAGAGAAGTTATTGGAAAAAAGAAAGATGGACTAAGAATTATTAAGTGGATGGATAAGAGACCTGTGTTAATGATTTCAAGTGTACCAGCCCATAGTAAGAAGTTGATTCCAACAGGAAACCAGAATAGGCAAAAAGAGGAAATTGTGAAACCGAAATGTATAATTGATTACAACTCTGCAAAGAAAGGCGTAGACTATTCGGATCAGATGTCATCCTACCATACAGTGCTACGTCGAAGCTTGAAATGGTACCGGTAAGAAATAAAATAGGTTTTAATTTTAATATCTCTTTCTTTTAATATTCATTTTTTTAGAAAAGTAGTATTTGAGATGATACTTGGAACAGCTATTGTTAATAGCTTAATTATATTCAATATGTGCTCTAAAACAAAAATGAGCATTACAGAATTTAGACGTCAGTTGGCATATAATTTAGTACAATCACCTGAAGAAAAACCACTTCCAAAAAAAAGAGTGCATACTTTTACCAAACCTGAAGGACCTGGAAGAAAACGGCGAAAGCCATGTAGAGGTTGTCGTCAAGTATTAAAATCTTCAGGTTTAAGTTACCGTGAAGTAGATAAAAAAGTTCGTAGGATTATAACTTTTTGTTCCGATTGCCCTGGTCAACCTGGCTACTGTTTGTCTTGTTTTAACAAGGCACATAAATAAATGGAAGAAGCAGAAACTACCAGTTAATTTTAAAATGCGTTTATTCTTTTTATTTTAGTATAAAATATTTGGTTTTTACAAACATCTTTTTATTCAATTACCTTCAAGAGAAAATTTATTTCGCTGTCTGTGCTACACGAGACGTTGGCGGCATGTCCTGTTTGAGAGGAAAGTAGATTAATACTTCTATAATAGTTTCATGTATAAAGTATATGCAAAAGTTATACTTCTGTGTACTAGAAGGCATGAAGGACCTATATGCACACACATGCCACATGCGGCATGTGACGCATAGACAGAATAAACCATAACGTATCTCCGGGGGCATGTGAAGCAAGAACTAGTATATTAAGTATTTAACCACAGCAGTCAAGGTGTTAATCATACTTATTTATTTGTTATTTCTCTATGCTTATTACCTAGTTTCATAACTTTTGGGAATGCAACTTTTGGCACAATGTCCTTGATTTTGATATCTAGTCTGAATATTCTTCATAAGGAATATTATTTAAAAGAGAGTTAGGTAAATTAATACTAGGACATTGTCTACTTAACGATACTGAAAAGGATTCCATTGGAGTATATGGGCAAACTAGTAAATCCATGCCTTGTTTCACAAGTTTAAAGGGTGAAGTGAAGTTGATACATAACCTGTAGTCAAAAATAATACTTACATCAGGCAAATAAGTAACACATGAAGTCACTCAGTTGTAAGGCTGGTTTAGTATTACAAACTGTGCTTTAAACAAGTAATACAGATCTACAAAGTAGTCCTGATTTAACAGTACATCACATCAGGACATTGCTAGTAAATTGTAAATTTCTCCTTTTGGCAATCCAGTTCGCAGCAAAATGCCATGGGGAGTGTGTTGTGATTGTTATGTTATCCTTGTTATTAGCATTATGCATCTTTCATCATCATTTCTTTTTAGGATGTTGTGAAGTTTTGTAAAGATAATGAAATCAGCTTGGTAGCAGTTGGCCCAGAGGATCCATTGGCAAATGGAATAGCTGATGCCCTTTTAGCAGCAGGAATTAAAGTTTTTGGACCACAAAAAGATGCAGCACAAATTGAATCAGACAAAAATTGGGCTAAAGCCTTTATGGATAAACATCAAATACCAACTGCCAGATGGAAATCTTTTACTAATGCCCAACAGGCGAAGAATTTCATAAACAGGTAATTTCTTCATCCTAAAGCCGGGATCTGTCTTGAAATTTAGATATTGAGAAATGTTATTGGGATTGATAAATGAAAAACAACTGAAAATCACATCATTGATCACATAGGATATTTGGAAAATAACAGTGTACTTTAATATTGAATTTTTATTTCCCCTTAGTGTATATTCTACAGAAAAAAATAAATAATAAATAAAACAGGCAAAAATACTTTTTATTATGGGTCAGAAATAACTGGTAGTTGTTCTTTTATGAGTTTCTAGGCACTACTTGAAATGTGTATTAAATGCCAGAAATGTCCTATCAGAAAAATGTCTGTCATTGAGCCAGGTTTAATAAAAATAATACTGTTTCAAACAACTAAACTTTTTCTATGACTTTAACTAGCTAGCTATTTGTTACTTTTCTGCAACAAATTAGATGAAGGTTTGTAGTATTAACATTTACACATATTTATATGCAAAAAATGCATATTTTTGCTATATGTGCTTAAAAGAACAAAGTAAAGTATTTACTAAATTCAAAGTTACTATCTTAAGGCCGTATGACACTATGCATTTTCTTGTATCATTTCTTATATCGTTTCTGATATAGAAAGTTATTTATGTTTTCTTGTATCGTTTCTTGTACGTACATTTTTGCCCTGTATGACACTATGCAAGTTCTTTTACCAGAAATTGTATGTGATTTGGCACATGATTGGTCGAAATTTTGACACCTATAAAAATAGAACTGCTGTACCTGAGGCAACGAACAAGGGCCTGAGGACCCCAAGCTACTGGGGACTGAGAACATATGCTACTGATTATTTTTAAAAATATTGTGGTGCAAAAATGAAAGAAATAAAATGTCCCAATATGAAAACTAAATTGGAAACCACAATTTTTGAAGAAATTCAACAGGTTGTAATGGAAGACAGAAATAATAAATAATTTGATTGTAATAATTTATTTGTTTTTTTTTTAATTATGTGTTTGAATGGTATGCTCTTGAAACTCTACTCCCTTATTTGGAGATATAAAATAATCTTTAAACTCATCACGAATTTTTAGAGCGGTTATGTATTGTTTTTAGTAAAACATCTCCTACTTTCAGTAGTTCCGATGCTATTTAATACAATCACTGTGATTTATTGTTTTTCAATATGGCTACTGATGTTCTAATCTTGGTTATTGCTGGTGGGCACTTTTCTCTGATGTCTGCTTGGCCTAATTGTATGTATACATCAGAGATACTTACATATCTCTAGTATATATCAAAGTTCTCCTCCAGCCATAGAGAAATAAAAATAATAATTATTTTTATTTCTCTATGCCTCCAGCCGCCAATATGACATGACAGAAGTTTTACGTTTTAGCGGCTTTGCGCACAAATTGGCGCATTTCTTGTACAAGAAAATGCAGCGGACACAAATTCTTGTATCGTTTCTGATATAAGAAACTATACGCCTGTATGACACTATCCATTTTTTTGTTATATCAGAAACGATATAAGAAATGATACAAGAAAATGCATAGTGTCATACGGCCTTTATACAAAATTTTTCAAGAATTCTTAATTTTCAAATGATGAAAGTGTTGCTGGTCATAATTACCTATGCAAAGAAGGAACAGGTAATCATCATCTTTGGCTCTATAACCCTGGGTGCATCTTGGCCTGTTCAAGAATTAGTCTCCATTCCCCCATATCTTTCGCCCTGGCTTTCCAATTTCTGACCCCCTAGATTCCTCAAGTCATCTTCGACTTTAGTTTTAAATCTAGATCTTGGCCTGCCTCTCTTCCTGGTTCCTACTGGCTCTTGATATAATATCTGTCTTTGGGGGTCTCCAGTGTCCATTCTTTCAAGGTGTCCTAGCCACCTTAGTCTATAAATTTTAATAGACCGGACAATGTTGCATTTTTCATAGCATTGATACAACTCAAAATTGTAGAGCCCGCGCCATATCCTGCTTTCTTGTACTCCTCCGTATGTGCCTAAGTATTCTTCTTTCAAAGCGGCCTAACAGTTCTTCGTCGCTTTTTACCATAGTCCATGTCTCTGACGCATATGTCAGGACAGGTTTAATGTTAAGAACTGCTTTAGTCCAAAGTAAACTCTGTTCGCCAGGTATATTCTTCTCTTAATTTCTATGCTTACTAGGTTGCTGTTATTTAGTTGTGTTTCAAGATACCCCTTTGAATGTGTGTGCTCCTGTCACCAGATCTTGTAGTGTCGCTATTTGTGTGCTGTTCATAACCTTCATGTTTTTTGTTTTGGGTATGTTGACCTGCAGTCCCATTGTCTTCGCAGTTTTTTCTGATGTTTCAAAAGCCTGTATTAGGTCTCTTTTGTCTGTATTAATATGTCAATGTCATCTACATAGGCCAATATCTGTACACTTCTATTGATGATCATACCTCTGGTTGTTATGCCCAATTTCTCTATAGGTCTTTCTAGCGCAATGTTAAACAATAGGCATGATAGACTATCCGTGGCGTAATCCAGTATGTGTTTGAAAAGACCTTGACACTCTGTTTTGTACCTTAAATTTGCACTTAACTTTCGAAAGAGTTGCCTTTACCAATATTATTAGATGCCACGGAATATCTAGCTCTGCCATGGCATTATAAAGTGCGCTTCTGTCTACACTATCATAAGCCCAAGAAGGGACAGGTATTCACAATTAAAATTAAATATATTAATTATGTAAACTGGGGCAACTGGTTTTGGGATTTACAATTTGTATCCTATCATCAGGCCTAATTGAAATTTTCAAAGTTTAAAAATGATACACATATACAAAAAATTAAGTGGCAAAACTTCTATTATATGAGATGTACATTTAAAAGTTCTGCCACAGCCACCAAGTAAAGGTGGCTGTGGTTCTGCACAAATAATAGCAGGAAAATACATTTGGGGAAAATCAGCACTGATTGTCAAAGTATTCGCAATCAATATACTTGTACATTTGAACAAACCAATTGTCGAAGCATTTATGCTACTCCGAAATAGGTATATCAGAATGAGATTTTTCTATGCTTTGATCCCTCATCTGGCATCTTAAAATATTTACTGCATAGTTTGTTTTTGATTCTTGAAAACGCAAAGAAATCACATGGTGCCAAGTTAGGACTATATGCAGAATTGCATAAATGTTTTTTTCCTTCAAATACTTGTTTGTGTTATATTAACTGTGTAAGAGCTGAATTTGCCATGATGCAAGGGGATGACATGATGCCAGTTGCTTTTGAGAGTTTATTAACTACTTTTGACAAACAAATGGTTGTATTATAATTCAGCATTGATGGTTCTACCATTCTCTAAAGAAATTGTGCAACAATATAAATAATTGTTGATATTTGACTTGTGTCTAAGCCCAATGATGCACAAATCTCATGATATGTAATATGTCAAATCTGTTACAATTATGCTACGCACAGCATCCATGTTTGCTTCACAGAATTCATCACTAAACTATCTATAAACAGATGATGACAGAAAGACCATTGTGTGTCTTAAATATGTAGTGATCGCAAAAATATTTGAAAATAATAAATAACAATAAGGAATGAATGCTACATAATTTAATCAAAAATATTGCTGGATATATGTGTTTGTAAATATTTGATACTAATGATAATTATAATTAACAATAAGTTGCAGTCAATTTAAATATTTTATTTACATTTTTTCATAAATCAATTCGCAAAAATATTTGAAAATAATAAATAACATAAGGAATGAATGCTACATAGTTTAATCAAAAATATTGCTGGATATATGTGTTTAGTAAATATTTGATACTAATGATAATTATAATTAACAATAAGTTGCAGTCAATTTAAATATTTTATTTGCATTTTTTCATAAATCAATTCTATATGTCTTATTATTGTCAAACATTGTATTCTTTTTATCAATTTTCTAATGGTCTGTTATTGACTTACTTATATAGTTCCGAGATTCCTAAGACAAACATAAAGTGTCTTCAGCAAACTCTATTTCCGGTTAGTGCTTTAATTTCAAACCAGGATGTTCCCATTTGTTTCCCTTTGCACAGTGTTCTGTTGGCCTTAACTATTCCAATCCAGCGCTCTTGGCAATGTCATCTGGGGCCCATGGAGTATGTGGCCCAGCCATCTCTTTGCTTTATCACATTTTCTTGTTTGGTTTGGTTCCATAAATTTTCATTCGAGATTTAATTAGGAAAAAATGGATGATTTTTTGTAACACTTTATTTATTAAAACTCTTACTGCACCACTGTAGAATTCTTTGATGATATTTATTGTTTTTTTTTTCTGGTATTCCTATTTCCTATAGTACTTTCCATATAGCGATATATTTGTCTAAAGCTGACAATTCCTTTTTTAACATTGGTTCCACACTGTTTATAATCAGTTGTTTATAATTATTGCTGTTAAGTTATTTATGGCATTTAGAAGTGTGATTCCTCTCCAGTTTTCGCAATATCTTTTGTCACCCTTTTTTGGTATCTTTATTTAAGTCCCGTTTCTTCAACTTTTCCTCTCTCCAGGCCCTCCACAAGAGTGGTTTGATTAGCACTTTTGTTGGGTTTGGGCACGCTTTTAACAACTCTGGTGGAATATTGTCAAGGCCAGCTTCTTTCTATTTCTTGCGTTATTGGTTCATTAATGTTATATTTTGTGCACCTTCAGTTAGTACTAGTACTGCCCTTAGAGCCACGAAAATTTTCATGCCATCTTTTGACTTGTTCCAGTGGCGATGTTATATCGTCACCTGTATTGTTTTCTACAATTAGTTGGTTGGTGGCATTTATTTTGTTGGCTAGTTGTTTAGTAATATTATAGTATATAATTGTCTCATGTGCTGATGTTTTTATTGATTTGAATTAGTTATAAGTTTTAAATAAAAAAGTTTTAAAATCTATTATCCGTTCCAGCGAGGTTCCAATTTGTTTGCTTAATTTTTTAGTGCCCCATATGCTGCTCTTGTCGTAAAAGCAAGTGGATTAGCAGCTGGTAAAGGTGTAGTTGTTGCAAAAGACAAAATCGAAGCATGTAGAGCAGTTGATGAAATCTTGGGTGATAAAAAGTTTGGATCTGCCGGAGAAACAGTCGTCATTGAAGAACTGCTTTCTGGCGAAGAAGTGTCAGTCTTAGCGTTTTCAGATGGAACAACTGTAAAAGCTATGTTGCCGGCTCAAGATCACAAGAGAATTTTTGATAATGATCAAGGACCAAACACGGGAGGAATGGGGGCATATTGTCCATGCCCACTCTTAAGTGACGAACAATACAAATTTGTACAGAAGGAATTCTTGAAAGAGCGATTGATGGTTTTAAGAAAGATAACTTAAAATTTGTAGGTAAGGTATTTTAAAAAAAATTCTGATATTTTAACAAATAAAACATTATTTTTTAATCAATACTGATTATTAATAACTTTCATTTAATATTCTTAATCAAAACGTTTGTTCATCCTGTTTGTTTGGTCATTCCTGTTTCGGATATTCAAATAATAAAAAAAAACATTTTTAATGTTTTGTGATGTTATGTCGTCTTTTTTATCTGTGCTCTGTGGATATGGGTAGGTTTTCTATGATTGTAATATTTTGTGTGTCGATTTGTTCTAAAATTGTTATGAATTTGTGGTGTATCACTCTATCAAAGGCTTTTTCATAATCCACAAGCAAACATTTCTTAGTTTAGACTTAAGTAGCAGTATTTCAGTATATTTAGACTAAATAGGGCATGCTAAGCCATTGAAGAAAACGAAATGGGTGTTGGTTATATCTTTATTAAATACTCTACTATTCTCATGTGGCAGAAAACAGTGAAAAGTTCTTTAATTTAGATTCTAAGTCTTAATTACCTCCTTATTAATAGACAGTCAGATTAATCTTCATCTTTTTCTTCTCCAGCTATTCCCTTTTCCCCACAAGTTCTTTGCCTCACAGTCCCATCTTCTCCTTGGTTCTCTACCTCTGTTTCCATCAACTTCTAAAAGCTCTATCCTTCGTTCCACATAGTTTTCATTTCTACGTCTGACATTACCATACCATTGCAGTCTTTGTTGTTGAATCTTTTTTGAGACTGCAGTCACCCCGTTCCTGATTCCTGTCCCTTCTAGTTTTATCCAACATCCATCGTAACATTTTCATTTCAGCTATCTCCATCTTATTTTATTGAATCTTCTTTATATACCACACTTCATCGCCGTACACCAACGTAGGCCTCACCACACTCTTGTATATCTTTTCTTTCAGTCCTTCTCCGATTTTTAGATTCCAGGTAAACAGCCTGTACCCTGTGGACAATTTCTTGATCCCATTTTCCGTTATGTAGGAGGCAAGGTATTTAAATTCTCCTACTCGTCCTAGTTTTTCTCAGAGGATTTCGATGTCCCCAATTGTTGCTGTTCCTCCCCACCACATATAATCCTTTTTCGACCTGCTAACCTTAACCCTCTTCAGTAGCCTTTTTCTAACCCTCAAACTTCTCCTCGAACATTTCTTTGCTCTCCTCTAATAACACAATATCATCACCAGGAGCATTCATCAAGGAGCCCCCCTCTTACCGTCTCTGTCAGTACATACATAACAAGATTAAACAGGTAGGGACTCAGTGAAGAACGTTGATGCAAACCAACCGTCACTGAACAACTTTCGGTCTATACGACACAAGTCCTTACTTATCACGTGAGGTGTACGCTCCCTCATACATATTCTTCACGAGCCTTACATACTTCTCAGAAACCTTCTCAGATTTCTCTTTTATACATTTCCATAGCTCTTGTCTAGGAACTGTCTTGTCCCCAAGATCTATAAATACCGTTTTTTCTCTGGTGTTCTTCATTTAGCAACTTTCTAAAGTTCCCATACTATCTTTGCTTTATTTTAACATCGGTTATTAACTTCTTCCATCCACACTCTTAATCTGCTTCGACCCTCCAATCAATAGACTATGTAAAGGGCAGCTAAGAGTTCTTTGAACATAATGCATAGATAAATTTAAAATCAATGAATTTATAAAATTTGAGCCTGGAATAGTACTGTTGTACTAAAACATTCAAAATATTTTAGGTGTATTATATGCAGGCTTAATGTTGACCCCAGATGGTCCTAAAACTTTAGAATTTAATTGCCGCTTTGGAGACCCAGAAACAGAAGTCGTATTACCATTGCTTGAGTCTGATTTATATGACATTATGTTATCTTGTGCTGAAGGAACCTTGGATAAACAAGATATAAAATGGAAGCAAAACATTAGTGCTGTAGGAGTAGTGTTAGCATCTAGGGGATATCCAGAAACGTCAAGTAAAGGACAAGTAATTTCAGGTTGGTACTATTACTATATTTTAATATTTGTGCAACATAAGATAATCAGCGGCCCTGTTGGATATAAAAAGTTAATAATAAGATAAAAGCAATTGCTTTTACACAAACAATACACAAATCTGTGAGTTGTTTTGAATTTTGATAGATCAGATTTTTATAAATCAAAAATATTTAATTCCATTAAAAAACATTTGATTTTATTTAAAAAAAAAGCAAGATAATTTTCTTATTATGGAATTCTCAAGTAAATAATATATGAACACAAACATATACGCATTTTTTTTTTAATTTCGGTAACCGCTCAACAGCAAACTTGGAAGATATATCCAAATTGATCCTTTAATTGATGGCTTTCGTTTGACCTATAACTTAACCTTGAATGACGAGTACTTTTATTTTAGCTGTAAGAATATAATTTAACACAGCAATCGAAAAAAAATTGTAATTGAAATAGGTCATGGAATTACGTAAATATACTGCTCGGTAGTATCCTAGTCACCAATGTTGGATGACGTAACTTTTTGTTTGGTATTGTTAATGGAAAGTTTGGTTTAGCCAATATTTTTAACAAACATTTTTGGAAAAAATGATCTAAAAACGTAGTCAGCCATTAAAAATTAATTAGGTAAACACAAAAAATATAATGTACCTTTACATATGGCATTTATCGACTTTCACAAGGCTTTCGATAGTATTGAGACTTGGTCCTTTTTGTCAGCCCTGAAGGATGCTCGAATAGACTCACGGTACACTACACTCATTAAAAACATTTATGAACAGGCCACATTCCACATCAAAATCAATGAAGACGAAAAAACTGAAAAAATGCGCCTTGATAAGGTATTAGACAAGGTGATACTATTTCACCAAAGCTTTTTACCTTAGCATTGGAAAATGTATTCAAACAGCTTGACTGGGAGGAAAAAGGTCCAAACATTGATGGTGTACATTTGAGTCATTTGAGGTTTGCGGATGACATAGTATTATTTAGTACAGATATCAAGGAACTGGAGCAAATGTTGAAGGAATTAAACCAGCAGTCAAATAAAATAGGTCTCAAAATGAACCTTCAGAAAACAAAAATAATGAGTAATTTACAAACTAATCTTGTTATTGACAACGTCAGTCTTGAAAATGTAGACCACTATATATATCTTGGACATACCATTAAATCGGCAAAGAAAATCAAATAGCCGAAATAAAAAGACGCATACAACTGTCTTGGGGAGCTTTCGGCAAATTAAGCTTTATTTTGAAGAATAAAGATATACCAATGTGTCTAAAACGTAGAGTTTATGACAAATGTATCTTGCCTGTAACTACATATGGACTGGAGACCATGGCCTTCACAAAGAAAACCTTAGAACAGCTCAGTACAACCCAAAGAGCAATGGAGAGGGCCATGCTAGGGATTAGTTTGAGAGACAGGATCCGAAATAACGTCATTCGTGAAAGAACAAAAATTACTGATGTCTCAGAACGTATTGCAAGGCTCAAGAAGCAATGGGTCGGACGGGTTGCCCGAGATAATCCCGAAAAATGGACACAAAGATTAACAAACTGGAGACCAAGAGAGAACAGGCGAGGAGTAGGCAGACCGCAGAAGAGGTGGACAGACGATATCAAACAAGTCGCGGGCAAGCAGTGGATGAGAATTGCCAAAAATAGAAATCGATGGAAGCAAATGGAAGAGGCCTATGTCCAGCAGTGGACGAACACAGGCTGAAGAAGAAGAAGAAGAAACACAAAATAGTGTGCCAATTAGAAATACATAGACAAGTTACAGGGTGTCCCATAATTAATTGGACATTAGCTAATGGGTGATAGCTGACATCAAAATAAAGCGTTTGAGTTCAAATTGCTTAGGCAAAATGTTGCTAGTTTTCGTTCTACAGGGTGATTCATTAATATTTTTTTATGTTACTTTTAGGGATATATTGAAAATTATTAAAACGATTTAAGTGAAATTTGGTATCTTGCTATTATTTAGTATGCTTAATATGAATAATTATATTAGTTTTACCATTGTATTAGTAGTAGATAATTTTTGCAAATAAAATCCATATGATTTCAACAATTATTTTTATTAAATCTTTTACACAATAACAAATTTTAAAAAAAGTCAGAAATTAAATTAATCAATGAAGTGATTATAAAACAATTGGCAAAGTGAATAATTCACAACGAAACGAAAAAAAAAATACAATAAGTGTTCAAAATGTCCATTAGATAAACTAGATAATCTAAATCTTTTGTGTAAGTTTTGTCTTATTTTAAATAATGAGTTTCTTTAGGCCCTAATTACGTTAACTAACTCTACAATATTTTGTCATAACTCTTGACGGTCATTTAATGTTTTTTTTAAACAAGTGACTTTAGGTAGCCCCACAAGTGAAAGTCTAGGGGATTTAGTTCGGGACTGCGTGCTGGCCATGGGTGTACATTACCTCTACCAATCCACCTTTGAGGATAAATTTCATCTAGATAATTTCTAACTTCTAGGCTAGGATGTGGTGGTACACCATCATGCATGTACCAAGAATTACGTCTCAATTACCTTCTTCTAAAAGAGTTGGTAAATCTTCTCTCAAAAAATTTAGATACGTTACTCCGTCAAGCCTAGTTGGCAATTCGAATGGTCCTACAATACAATCCCCAAATATGGCACACCAGATATTTATGGAAAACTCATGTTGAAAATGATGTTCTTGAAATGCATGAGGATTTTCTGTCGCATAGGTATGGCTATTACGCCAGATAAACAAAACTCTTCTAGTAACTGTGGCTTCATCGGTAAATAAAGTTTTATTATAAAACATTGGATCGTCTAAATGCCACCCTATCGTAAACTGACTAAATCGGAGCGTTACTGCAAAATCCTGTGGTAAAAAATTCTGTACTAGAGTAACACGATACGGATACAGATTTTCTGTCCGTATTATTCTTGACATCGTGCATTTGCTTATACCAGTGGTCGCAGAAACAAGCCTTGTACTTCTTGTACCTTGGATCTTCTGCAACACGCACAACAATTTCGTCCTCCATATCCGCATTAATTACTCTCGGTCTTCCAGCATTCTTGTTTTTGGAATGAAATGACCCTGTGTCGCCTAATCTGTCGAACAATGATCTAATAGTTTTATGGTTTGGTTGCCTTCTATTAGGATTAAGTTCGAAAGAGCGTTGTGTGCATTATTTTTTGTCAAGTACTGGCGGTATTAAAAGAATACAATATTAATAGGCATTATGAAACCCAGCGCAAAACAAAATACGACAAATATCAAGGTGAAGCTCACAATACTCTTGTAAAAGAACTTAAAGCTTAATTGAATAAACAAAAATCTCTATTTACAAAATCCACAGCTGTTCAATCATCAAGCTTAGCAGCATAATATGAAGTATGTTTAGAGCTTATCAAAAGTAAAAAAAACATTTGTGAGAAATGATCAAGCGGTGTGCCGTTAAAATGGCGCGATACTTTGGAGATGAAAAGATGGCCAAAACTTTTTGAATGTGTTTCAGTTTGCCATCAAACTGTATCTAGAAGAGTTGATGAGCTGAATACTCATGTATTTAAACACATGTTCGACAAAGTTCGTGATGTTTTTGTTAGGGGCATCAGTGAAGATTTTTGTGTAGCTTAGGAACTTCTTAAACTGCTCCACATGGAAGACGGGACCAAAGGTATAAATATATTTGAAGCAGTTAGTGACGCTGTGAAAAATATAGGCGGTTTTCAAAAGTACTCTTACGTTTGCACTGACGGAGCAAAAGCAATGTTGGGACGCATAACAGGATTGGCTGGACTTTTGCGGGAAATTGGTGTTAACTGTTGTATGTTTCATTGCATTATCCATCAAGAGGCTCTCTGCGGAAAGATAATTAAAATCAACGATACAATGAAAACTGTAGTGCAGATAGTAAACAGCTTAAGAGGAGGAAATAGAGCTCAGCGACACCGAAAATTCATCTCTTTCTTGGAGGAATTAAATACTGAATATAAGGTCGTCCTCCTACATTCAGAGATACTCTGGTTGAGTGCAGGTAAATGTCTTACAATTTTTTTCTTTAAGAAAAGAGATCTTACTATTTTTTGAAACAGAAATTTTTATTAACACGGACGTATTTATAACAAAGCTTAAGAACATAACATTTCTTCATGAACTGGCATTTCTAACAGACATTACCTCTCACTTGAACATAGAAAACCTACAACTCCAGGGGAAAAATAAGACAGTATTACAGTGTTTCGAAATAAATCAAGAAGAAACATGGTCGATTTCTCGAGGTTTGCAAAAGTTCTTACAGAAATAAAAAGATAATTCGATGAAAGGTTTCCGGAATTTGATGCACTAAAACCCGATCTTGAGCTTTTTAACAATCCAATGGGAGTCAACATCCAGAACCAATCAGCAGAATACCAATTAGAGCTGTGCGAACTAGAGTCCGATTCGTTTTTTCAATCAAAGAAAAATGAAGACATTAGTACCTTTTAGAAGTTATTCTCCAAGGATCGTTTTCCTAAACTTCGTAATTTTGCGTTGAAACTATGTTCAATGTTTGGTAGTACGTATATATGTGAAAGTACATTTTCTGCTTTGAAGCATATTAAATCTAAAACACCTAATCGCATGGAAAACGATTCTCTGGAAGCGTCTTTTAGACTCACTACGACTAGCATAGATATAAATGTGCAAAAGTTAATAGAGGATAAACCCTTACCCATCGAGCAAAAAGACAAATAAGGGAATCTAATCGTTATGAAAAGGAGACCAAAAAAGTGGCCTCTGATGGTGGACATATCCGGAAATGCGAATGCGCCAAATTTAAATTTTCCGACACTTAACAGTAGCTATATAATATTTTTCAGAATGTGTCTTAGACGAGAAAGTTTTAATTAATTATTAACGGCAATAGTCTAAAATGCGACACAATTGTTAAAAAACTTCAATACAAATAAGATTTCATTTGACATTTGGGACAAACAATAACATAACCCAACTAAATTTTATGTCAAACAAGGAGTGAGACTCTCTTTCCTTGTTTAATGTGGCCTCTAAAGATCGCACTTCCTGTCTAACAATATTTTTGCCCCCACTACCTTTACATTCCCTCTTTTGTGTTTTTGCTCGATGCCCTTACCTCATATATCCCATTGATTTTTTATTTTATGTTAAATTTTAAACATAAGATGTAAATTGTAAACTATAATAAAATACTTTAAATATTATTTTGTTTGAATATTATTTTTTAAAATAAACTTTTTTTGAACGAGTCGAGTTCTCTGGCCCTTCATAATCATTTCAAATTTAATACGGCCCGTAACGTCTAAAAGGTTGGACCACACTGATCAAGTATATACAAGTTCGGATGGGTAAGATTTATTTTAAATTTCTGGTGTGGGAAGCAACTAACCATCCAAACGATTTAAGGCTTTAATGTTTGTTTATGTTTCAGGAATAGAAAAAGTTGCATTAAATACGGACCATATTGTTTTCCATTGCGGTACAGCCCTAAAAGACGGACATGTTGTCACAAATGGTGGTCGAGTGTTGATATCTGTAGCATTAGCACCACAACTTCCAGTCGCTGCCGCTAAAGCTACAAAATCTTGTGAAATCATCCGATTTGATGGACAACAATATCGCAGAGATATATCACATAAAGGAATTGCAAGGTAAAACACTTGGTGACACATTAAATTGAATTCGAATATGTAACTTGGAGGGAATTCCTCCCATACTCTGCTAGTGTTAGTTTAAAATATAAAAATTAATCTATATATAGATATATATATATATATATATTTATATATAGTATATATATATATATATATGTGAGATGAGCGTTGTTACTGGCTGTTCAGTTACTTGCTATGTATATTCTCTTTTCACAGCCTTTTAATTGTGACATATTGTTAAGTTTTGAACATGTCAAGAGTTATTGCATACAAATCTGACAGGTGCCAGGGTTGTATTCAGTCAAATGCGAAATCATTATGTGGTTGTTTATCGCAATTTGCATTAAAAAACGCAGATTTTGTGCTTTTAGTAATTTACTTTTGTATAAAATATTTTAAATTGGTTAATTTGGAATTAAATACTAGTTATTCAAAAAGTAATTACATAGAGAAAATCAACAATAACATTGTTTAAAATGTGCTAAGGTTATTCCTACGTACAAAGGTGGTGACCACGATTTACCTGCTAATTATCGTCCTATCTCTTTGTTGCCGTCGCTTTCAAAGGTTGTAGAAAAATTGGTAAAAATCCGAATGATGACGTTCTTACAAAAATACAATTTTCTTTCTTCCTTCCAATTCGGTTTCCAGTCATTAAAAAGTACATATGATGCCATATTTGAATTCATGGAAAAACTATATTTGGACTTTAATAACGATTATGTTGCTGCCGCAGTTTTCTGTGATCTATCTAAACCTTTGACTGTGTCAATCACAAAATACTACTTAATAAACTGGAAAGATATGGTTTTAGAGGCACTGCTCTAAAGTGGTTCAGTTCATACTTGGAAGACAGATGCCAGTCTGTATCAATCAATGAGCGCTACTCTAGTAATATCTTTATTAATTGTGGAGTACCTCAAGGCTCTGTCTTGGGTACTATCTTTTTCTTGATATATTTTAACGATATAACTAACCTCGACATTAATGGCCGGTTTACCATATTTGCAGATGACACCACAATTTTATGGCAAAACAAGGACTCTACAGTACTGAACAAGACTATTAGTAGTGATATGCAAAAAATTTTAGAATGGTGCAAAGCTAATCATTTGACATTTAATTTTTCAAAAACTAAATTAATTTCTTTTAAGAATGATCTAAACAACATTACTCTGGCAATGAAGGCATTTGTTCTGATACTGTAAACAAATTTTTAGGTCTCTATATTGATAATAAACTTAAATTTGAGCAACACACTGTATATTTAAGCAAAAAGATATCATCGGGTTGCTTTGCGGTCAAATCAGTTGCTCACCATTTAGATTTCAAGATTGCAAAAAGTGTTTATGTGGCCCTGATTGAATCTAATTTGAGATACGGTATTGCCTTTTGGGGTAGCTGTTCTCTTCATCATTTCAGTAGAAACTTTATGCTACAAAAGAGAGCACTCAGATATTTATGCAAGGTCAAGTTTGGTACATCATGCAGGCCTCTGTTCCGGAAACATGGTATCTTGACACTTCCTTGCATATATATCCTGGAATTAGCGTGCTTAATTTTTATAAAACATAAAGAGGATATTCGGACAGTTTCCCCTATAATACTCGTCTAAATTATGTTATTCCACTTCATCCATTCCCTCTTCTACATTAACTAAAAAATCATTTATTTACACTGGTAAGAAAGTGTTTAATCACCTACCACTCGATATAAGATCCTCAAGCAATATTTTTGTATTCCGAAGAGCAATCAAGAAGTTTTTATTATCTAAATGTTACTACAGTATAGAGGAATTTTTTGAGGACAGTTGCGCTAATTGATATATATTTTTTAATTATGGAAATTTTATAATTAGTATTTTAATATATCTTGTACCTTGTTTGTACTATACCATGTTGTGTTTTATAAATGTAATCTCATTTTAAAAACAATAAACTTCTCTCTCTCTCTCTCTATCTCATTACAGCTTATGATATGTGGACGCATCTACATGTTTTAAATTTGCCACTGGCATACTGTTTTAAGGGGAAGTGTAACAAAATGACAAAATTTTGGTTTTTCTGTTTTAAAGAGAGGGTTTCTGGCTCAATTGACTTGCAATTCATCTTTGTTAATTTTGTGCGAAGTTAGCAACAATAATTCATGAATAATTTCATTAAATATATTTAATTATATATTCATATTTTTGAAATCATTTATTTTTTTAAGGGCTATTCTTCAGTCTGGCAAACTCACTTATAAACAGAGCGGCGTTGACATAGATGCCGGTAACGATTTAGTTAATCATATTAAACCAGCAGCTAAATCGACAAATAGAACTGGTACTATGGGAAGTTTAGGTGGATTTGGAGGTTTATTTGATACCAAAGCTGCAGGCTACAAGGACCCACTTCTCGTTTCTGGTACTGATGGAGTTGGAACTAAATTGAAGGTAACTTCTGTTTAATTTATATACTGTGTATGTAGTGTTAAGTAGGTAGAAATTTTATATTCTTAATATAAAGTGTATTAATATCAAAATACTAAAAATTATATTTTAACAATTTTAGAGATATACCTCTATAGCACTATAAAAAAATAACCTGCAACAAAGCCCTTGGAGATGGTTCTGTAGTAGCAGGACACTTAAATATCTCAGCGAAATAGCAGTTAACAAATTAACGGTCTTATTCAAGCAAATATATGAAACCGGAAGTTCTTACAGGAATGGCTTACTTCCACATACATAGCAATCCCCAAAAGTAAGACAAGAAGACCGTAGAACGATAAGCCTGATGACTCACGCTGCAAAAATCTTTATTCGGACCATTTACAATAGAATTCATCATAAATGCCACGCATATCTTAGTCAATACCAGTATGGTTTTCGAATGAAAGCAGGCACTAGAGAAGCAATTCTGAAGTTGACCGGTGTTGGCGGAGAGATATTTGGAAGTACAAAGAAAACTTAACGCTTGCTTTGTTGATTACCGGAAGGCATTCGACCGTATTAAGCGCCACAAAATGATTCAAATCACACAAGAGATCAGGCTTGATGAACGAGACATAATTATTATTTCGCAATTCGCAATTTATGCTGGAATTATAATGGGTGTGATCATACTGCAAAGTACAACGTCACTAATGCGACTATGTCAGCATAAAACGAGGAGTACGTCAGGAATGCCTCCTGTCTCTGCTTCTCTTTAACGTCTATGCGAAACATATGATTAAGGATTCGTCCAAAAGGTGCCAATACCAACGGAATTGTGATTAATAACCTTATCAGAGTTTGGATCGCTCGGGACACCTTCACCACTTCCACTCTGACGTCAGAATCTCACGCCCGTTTTCAATATGGCGTCAGCTGTCATGTCAATGAAATGTATCAACGACGCTTAAGCGACTGGTCTGCGACATCTAAGCGACAAGTCAGCGAGCAAAATATGGCTATCTTCTCGCTTAAATGACGCCGACTTTTCACTTAGTGTCGCTGACATGACAGCTGATACCATCTTGAAAAGGGGCGTGGCTTGTGACGTTAGAGTTGAAGTGGGGTGACCCAAGTGACCCGTACTCTGCTAACCTTAGATAACACACACAAAATTTCTCTGAACGTAGCTTTAGATATGTAAAATGCACAGAACCACACTAAACTAGTCAATGTCCAAGAAACGTAAAACATGATAAAATGCGTAAATTGTTCGGAAAACCATCCAGCAAACTATAGAGGTTGCAAAAGTCATAAATAATCCACCATAGGCCTATCAGACACCAGCATCTTCTAGTCTAAGCAACATATTCATTTTAGAATTTTAAACTTCTACATTATTAGCCTTCTAATTTTTCTGTGCACCGAACCAGGATTCAAAAGCACATCCACTAGAGCCTTTCAGCGGAGAAGCGAAATGAAGGTCGATCACCTGTCCTGTCGATCATAGAATAAGTCCATCGCTTGATAAAACAAATAATGACTTGTAGAACAAGAGATACAGTAGTGCAACCTATTTGTACAATCATTCAAGCTTTCGACAGTTTGGCATACCAGACTTATATATAAAGTTAAAATCTTTCTTCTCATTATTATTTAATTTTGAAATCTTACATATCTGATCATTATTTTCTAGTTAAACAGCACGAAACGCAGTCCGAGCTATTTGAAGTTAGGTCCGATGTACCCCAAGTCAGAGTTATTGTCCTATTTTATATTTTTTATTTACTGCTGAATTAACAACAAGCAGATTAACCAGAGCTGTCACACATGCTGATGACTCAGCCGTTTTTGCGTCACATATAAACCCGCAAAGAGCATCACAAAACTTACAAATTAATCTGAACAATATTCAGCAATGGCTTAAAACATGGAAAATCAAAGCAAATGAAGCAAAATGGTACCATGTGACATTCACGATGCGACAAGAAACTTGTACTCCAGTTCACTTAAATGATAGTCAACTAATACAAGCAGATTCTACAAATTTTGGAGTATACGTTTAGGTATAGGTTTGGATAGAAGACTGACTTCGCGGAAGCCTATCTTTACTAACAGCAAGCAATGTGGACCAGCAAAATAAAACAACATACTGATCTACAAATCTGTGTGAACTTACGGTATACAATTATGGGGTACAGTCAGTAATATTAACTTCTAAATTCTACGAATGATAGTAAATGCCCTTTGGTACGTGTCTAATGAAGTGATAGTTAAGATATCGAATAGTTCCTACTATCCAGTTCCGGTTTAACACAGTCTGCCGCCCGGTGCTCTTATAATGTGCACCGTTATATGTTTGCTTATATCGGGTGGCACAGTCTGCCGCCCGGTATAAGCAAACATACTTAATTACCAGATTTTAACATCAGACTGAAATAGATATTAGGTAATCTCTAAACATTATTTGAATTTATGTTGTGACATTATTGAATTACTAGTTAAAGAGAAATTGCCAAAAGTAGAAATCGATGGAAGCAAATGGAAGAGGCCTATGTCCAGCAGTGGACGAACACAGGCTGAAGAAGAAGAAGAAGTTAAAGAGAAACTTCAATGGAAGACATAACAGAACAGAACATATTATAATAAATGAGTTTTTTTACTGTACGCCTTTGTGGTTGTTTTATAGTTTGGTAAATAGTAAAATTTGGAATAAACTAGTGACTTTCTGTGCAACTTTTAACTGTATCTAATATGGATTTATTGTTTTTAATATATTTGCCAATATTTACTGTTTTAAATTTTTTGTTATAATTACCTAACATTTGTTTTTAATATTACTTTAGTCAGGAGTGAAATTTTTCGGTAATATTGTGAAACTATCAGTTTAATATATTTTATAAATTTATTACATTGATTAAAATGTTAAATTGATTTTACAGATTGCCCAAGCTACTGGCGTTCACGATACAATTGGAATAGATCTTGTAGCCATGTGCGTTAATGACATATTAGCTCATGGAGCAGAACCTTTATTCTTTTTGGACTACTTCGCCTGTGGTAATTTGGATGTACAAGTAGCCAAGCAAGTCGTAACAGGAATTGCAGATGGATGTAGACAAGCAGGATGTTGTCTGATAGGTAATCATTATTTTCCTATACAAATATCCTTAGCCTGATTGTATCTTGTTTTGTAGGTGGAGAAACAGCAGAAATGCCTGACATGTACAAGCCTGGAGACTACGACCTGGCAGGTTTTGCAGTTGGAGCCGTCGAAAGGAATCAGTTGATGCCTCACATTCAAGATATTAAACCTGGAGATGTTGTAATTGGTTTACCGTCATCAGGAGTTCACAGTAATGGTTTTAGTTTGGTGAGAAAGGTCATGAAACTGGCGGCGAAAGATTACAATAGTGTTGCTCCATTCAGTAAATCAAATAGGACATTTGGTAAGTTAGTAAGTTTAAATATGTTTATTTGTGTTACAATTATTTGTATCACCATTAATGAACAAAAGTCGTTGGTACAATCAACGTAATGTCTACATTCAACTTCAATAGTGTAGCTACAGCCAACGATTTGGCTTATTCAAATTTTTAGCAATTCAATTTAAAGCATGGCCTCTGTTGTGGTCCATTTGGTTATCTACCGGTACTTATCTTTGTTAACTACCCCCTCAGGTCCATAGGAGATGAAGTTGGATAGCTGGTAGCCTAGTACTGCCCACTTTAGATGTAGATGTTCTTGTCGTTAGGTCTAACTGTACGGATACAGAGTTTTCATGGTGTTCAGTAGTATCTGGTGAACAAAGCTTCTTGCTTTTCTGAAAGAACTCGCTACCGCGAGTTGAGGTGATCTCCAGATGTTGGAGATGAAATGAAAAAGTCAGCAAGCTAAATACTTAATATAAAAAATGAGAACGAGAGATGGAGGTTATAATATTACAGCCACAATAATGACCACAATTTACATGGGCCAAATATATTTACAACACACATACATACAGAGTGTTTTAGATTACCTTCATACCCTTTTCAATTAAACAACTGAAAATTAATAAATAATGTAAACATAAAACATTTATTTTTAAATTTTATTGTCTACAGGTGCTGAATTATTGACTCCCACGAAAATCTACGTAAAATCCGTCATTCCAGCCATCAAGACAGGCAAAGTTAAGGCTTTCGCCCATATTACTGGAGGAGGTTTGCTAGAAAATATCCCTAGAATACTTCCGGATAACGTGGCGGTTGAACTTGATGCTACCAAATGGTCTATTCCCGAAGTATTTCCCTGGTTAGCAACCGCCGGGGGTGTTCATCAAGTAGAACTTCTTAGGACCTTTAACTGTGGACTTGGAGGAGTTTTGGTTGTTAAATCAGAAGATTCCGATGCTGTTTGGAATTTGGTAAAGAACGAAGGGGCTACAATTGTTGGAAAAGTTGTCAAAAAGGAAAGAGGTATGTATTGTGTATGGAAGAAGGATTTTTTACAAGTTCACTGCTCTGAATCATTATTCTTTTTACTATTATGTTTTATATATGTTCTGGATGATTTCTGCTTTCCGGAAGATTAATACTATTATAAGAATTAATACTAAACTCAACAGCCTTCGGGTTGAACCGCGTGGATTATCATTGCGCCTAGCTTTCGACTTCCTCTTTGATGTCTTCTTTAAGGCTTCCGAACTCTCTCTCCCGAGCCCCAGACACTACTACACCGATCACTAACCAATGCATTACTGCCACTGGGAACAGAGGAGGGTTCATTTATACCGTCGATGGTAACGTGGTTTAGGTGGTGGTTGGCGTGGGGGTTAGAGTGGAGATTGGCGCGATAATTTCTGACAGTTAGATTTGATTTGCGGGTGGAGCAGATGATATTTTCTTTATGGGATGTCTCCATGTCGAATGTTACCGTATGCCGTCATCTCTTTTATTGATACAATAATTTGGCCTTTTTTTTTAATTTCTATGGCGTTTCAGATAATTTGTGGTTTATAGCAGCGGACTATGGTTCTAGAGATTTCAAAATCAATTTTGTGACCTGTATGAAGATGGTGTTGACCTAGAGCTGAAATTAAATCGGAATAAACAGAAATGGAATGTTCATAAATCTTATTTTGGATTCTAGGATTTGTTTGGCCTATATAGTTGTTGTCTTTGATTGATCGGACAAGAGATGGGTGTCGATGTTCATAAATCTTATTTTGGATTCTAGATTTGTTTGGCCTATATAGTTGTTGTCTTTGATTGATCGGACAAGAGATGAAGGTTTTGTTGGAGTGTAAATATTGTTTTTATTCCTCTTGATTTAAGAGGAAAAATCAATGTATGAGAGTTTACGATACTATTAATAGAATCACAATTTTTATTGTATACTATGTAATTCCAAATAATATTAAATTGCCCTAAAAATGACTTTACTTACTCTTGCTTTCATTTCCCCTCTTTAAAAGTAAAATTTGCTACTTATTTATCATTTACTTCTAATATTTTCCAGATCAAGTGATAGTTCACAACTTCTCTGAAGTGATGGAAGCTTCAATGAGAAAATACGTCCCAAGCGTCGTAGAAAATACACCTAGTTTGAAGAAAAGAGTAGGAGTTTTAATCTCAGGAAGCGGCACCAACTTGCAAGCGCTCATTGACGCAACTCAAGATCCTCTGCAACAAATTGGAGCCGATATAGTGTTAGTAATCTCGAATAAACCAGGTGTTTGAAGGACTGAAGAGAGCCGAGAGGGCCGGCATTCCAACAAAAGTAAGAAAACTTTGGTCTTAACATACATATTATCGTTAACTATTACTGTTGTAGTAAAGGTTGTTAGTAAGAGAAATATAGTCGGCTTCAGATATAATCATCGAAGGTCGGTATCAAGTTCAAAAAATACCGACTTTAGTCCGAAAAAATTACCAAAATGAGATGATTTATGTCAAATACTTTAGATTTCGCTTCCGGTAATGAACTTGTGTCTCCTAAATTTTTTCCTTTTATGGTCAAAAAGCAAAAGAATTGTACGAATATGTGCATGCTCACCAGAATATTTGAAGATTCAGATTTATTAATAATATTACCAATTTTCAATAAGTAATGGATAATTTCACGCACTTATATTTTAAAGGGTTAGATTTCGACGGGGCGCTATCTGAAGTCGAATCTATTAAGGTAAACTTGGTGATAACATGAATATTTTTGCAGGTATTGAGCCACAAAGATTATTCCAGTAGATTAGAATACGACATGTCACTTCATAAAGAGCTGGTAGCAGCAGGAGTGGATATTATCTGTTTAGCAGGATTCATGAGAATATTAACCGGAGAATTTACAAGAAAATGGAAAGGAAGGTTGCTCAACGTACATCCTGCGTTGTTACCACTTTTTAAGGGTGTCGATGCTCAGAAGCAAGCTCTAGAATCTGGCGTTAGGATTGCAGGCTGTAGTGTACATTTTGTTGAGGTAAGTAATTATAAGGAAGAGTTCATAAACTACAATAAAATAGACAAAATTTAGACAATAAATTGGCATATGGCCAAAAACTCAACATTCCATTCATCATCATTCTGGCTTTACAACCATGTGTGGGTCCTAGCCTCCTCAACAATTTATCTGTAATTGTCCCATATCCATCGTCTTCCTCCGCCAAGCACGTATTCCCATTATATTTTTTGATATGAAAAAGCATATTCAAATAAGCTGTAGAAGGCGCTTATTCTTATATACTGCACCTATTGTGTACCTAATTATCCTATTGTCAGACGTCTATCTTTTGCGGTATGCAAAAACTCGCCAGTGTTATTTATGTCTATCCATTTCTTTATATTTTGTAGCCACGACATTTGTTTGAGACCTATTGCCCTCAATATTTCCTTGGATAATTAGTTGGACAATTGTTTGGATAATTAGAGATTGCGTATTTTTTTCCTCTCAGGATATGGCTCAGATATCCAATTTTTCGTACCTTGATCCTCTCTCGGTATTTCCCTTTCTAAGGGCATTATAAATGTTACAAAATAAAAGTCTAACCCAGTTAAAAAATTCAGTGAACTAAAATACAGTCTAACCCAGTTAAAAATTCCGTGAGAAGGATGGTTCTGCATAGCTACAACAAGTGAATCGATATCAGGATCAATTGTGCTTAGTTTTCATTCGGAAATTTGGATCAAGATTAAACCCTACTGCGAAATTTATTTTTCACATTGTAGCATAGCAGAAAATCCAGTTTCACACAGGTAGTTGTTCGTAAAAGGAAGTAAAAATAACAATGCTTTTTTTAATCAGGCTCGATATTCATTTTTAATATTTAGCCAGAATTCGGCTAATTCTAATTTTGAAAACTCTATTTTCAAACCCCATGACAAGATAATTCTATTAAAGGCTCTTTTTACGATACACGTTACCATATCTTATGCAGCAGACAGAACTAGTTCTTCACCGATGGTATGTGCTTTTCTACACTTCTCTACTGCCTCTACTGCTTTTTGGTGCTGCCGGTGAAATTCGCCATTAATTTTTGTGTGCCTCTCATCTCTGTTAACTTCTGAAAGAAGTAATCCTTAGTAGGAATCCCCACCAAACTGGCGTGGCAAGTAGCAAGTAGCACGCATCTAGCATGTTACTTAAAATGTAACCAATGCAAACGAATGATTAGAATGAATGACGTCACTGTCATTTTGGTGTGAGCTGAATCATTCGTTTTCATTGGTTACATTTTAAGTAACATGCTAGACGCGTGCTACTTGCTATTTGCCACTTGCCATGCCACTTTGGTGGGTGCTCCCCCTTAGGTTTATTTTCCAACACCGAATGTTTTGTATTGAAGTGGCGTTTTAATGGCGAAGGTTTTATACACTGGTTAGAAAAAATTTTATCAAAAAACAGATTACACATTGAGGCCTTGGCTCATCATTTATATTCGTGAATGCCCATATTAACGTATTAAGGATTATATCTCCTAACCGCCACTTTTAGCTTTTTGAAAGAACTCTTTTTGTCATCACCCTGTATAGGCTTCGACTCTGAAGTGAAGCTCGATGTACCGGGATTTTCAGATGTTCTGTTGTCTCTTTTAAGCCATTTATCCATTTTTTATAAGCAAAAATTAGCACGCATGAGTAACAAGCAAATTACTCGTTCGACAAAACTAACCACAACGACTGACGGTCGCGAGGAAACTGATGACGGGAATGGACGTGAATCAAGGGCGGTGACAATTTTTTGACAATGGTGAATTTATTCATCGTATACACTGGATAACTATATACAATACTGGAAGCTTTTAAAAACCTAAAAGCAGATGATGAGAACCAATCAATAAGCACAGAGTCTGCATCGTCACTACTCTCCTTAAAAAGTCTATACGTTCAGCATCCCTTAGTTCAAGAAATCCATAGGACTTACGGTTTACGCCGCTTCTCAAGGTGTAAATGTCACTATCATCTTGCTGCCATCCCATATCGGCATCTCCGGTAATGTAAAAGTAGATCAAGTCTCCAAACGGTCAATACTCAAAAGCCCAACATATATCCGTAATGACCTAAAGCAAATGTTCAAGCAACAACAGTATCAAATCCACTGAAACACAATCAAGAAAGATCCGGCAGACTAAAAAAAATTTGAACTTCTAACAACCTCTAGAAAAGAAAAAGCTGTCATCCGAAAATAAAGAATTGGACATGTGTGTATGGAATGAACTGCAGATCAAGATGCAATATGCAGATAACAACAAATGGCATCGTCCGCAAAAATGATACAAGGCCATATGGAGGCGTCCGCAGCGAAAATCTTAAAGAATTTTATTTTAAAGAGTTTTTACCCAAATATTTTGGTGGCCCAGGCATGTCAACCTAGTGTTTTTTTAAACCTGATGATGGAATTGTCATTCCAAAAACGTTCGTGTTTTTTTATGTAGCCCTTTTAAGTGTTTTTAAATATACCAAATTACAAAGATTAACCTCTTTTTTTGTGATACGTGGTATACAGCCAGCTGCAGGAAATATTTTCCTTGTGGATTTTATTTTAAATATTAAAAGTTTTTATGAAAAATTAAGTAGTCTGTCTTGTTAATGTTCAAATAATTGCTGGTGAAAAAGCAATATTTACTCACTTGATAAAAGACAAACATATAGGACTGACTATTAAAGAACAATTAAGAACTATTAAGGTCGATTTATACATAACGTGCCGTGTGCGTATCGGACCTAATAGAAATGCAAACATTGTTACACATTTCTGTGTAAAAGAGAATTGAAAATATGGCGGCTTGCATAAAAGATCTCATCTTATTTTCATTATTACTTAATGAAGAGAAAGAGCAAGGGCAAAAAAGGCGGAAACAAAGAAGATGGAGGTGCATCATTTGTCGAAAAAAGCAATCAGTTTATAACGTTCTACGCCGTCTTCTGATTTCCAGTCTCCATTCATCTCGGTTTTTTCAAAGGTTTTCTTCAACTCCCCTCTCCCATAAGTCTTTATCGATTCCTTCTCTCTAACTTAATCTCGGTCTACCTTGCTCTCTTCTTCCATGCGGTGTCCAGTTCAATACTTTCTTTGGTATTCTGTGTTCATCCATTCTTTGGACGTGTCCATACCATCTTAGTTGATTTATTCTGATGTCCTCTGTTATATTGTGCTTAACACCCATAATTTCTCGCATTATTCTTTCATTTGTAACTGTCTAATCTTGATTTTCCAGCCGCTCTTCTCCAGAAGTTCATTTCTGTCGCTTCTAATGCTTTTTAAGTTTTTTCCTTTGAGTGGTTATTTCTATGTTTAATTTCTTCGTCTAATTTGCATAATATAATATTTGTATTTTTGACAGTGATTTATTTCTCGCTGTATTTCTTCAAAGATTAGATTTTGTTGAATTCCCTCAATGTGTACAAAACATGTATTCAGTTTTCTTGATATTTACTTCTAGCCCCCATAGTGCGTATTATTCGATAAGTTTACGGGTCATATATTCGAGGTCTTCATAGTCTTGGGCCATCACTATCTGGTCGTCTGCAAAATTCAATGTGTACAATATTGCGTCTTTTAGAGGAATTCCCATGTTTCTGCATTTTCTTTTCCACGTGTTCATTGCTTGCTCCAAGTAAACCTTAAACAAAGTAGGAGACACGCAGCATCCTTGTTTGAGTCCTTTCCTGATAGTGAAACCCTTAGATACCTCCTGACCTTTCTTTATTTTACTTGTGTTGTTCTTGTAGATGTCTTGAACAGCCTTGATTAAGGTTACACTAATATTTGTTTTCTCGAGAGCTTTCCAGAGTTTTTTTGTGGCACACTATCATAAGCTTTTTTAAGGTGCATGTAGAGGAGATGTATTGGTTGATTTCGTGCTACTTTTTTTCGATTAGCTGAGTCACAATAAACAGATGGTCAATAGTTGATCTACCTGCTCTAAAGCCGGCATGTTCTTCGGCCTCCATATCACAGAATTCATCTTCCATTCTCTTTTTGATGAGTTTCCCGTAAACTCTCGAAATGGTGCTAAGGACTGCGATTCCTCAATCATTGTCATATACAAAAAATCAATCAAAAGACTGATATTTTTTGTACACACTTATGACAAGTCAAAAGAAAATGTAAAAAAGTATTTTTGAAGTGTGTATATTTTAAACAATTCCTAGCTGAGCACTTTCGGCTTTACAAAGCCATCATCGGAGCTATGCTACAATAAAATGTTCTTATAAGTACTAATTGGTGAAGATTTAATTTTTTAACTTACGTCAATTTATAAATACCACTACAATGGAGAGATCTCATTTCCTTATATGTCGAAATTATGATTTTTTAGGTGTTAAAATTCTTAAAAAACATATAAAAACAGACACTGGACTTCACAGACACATTAAAAAATTGAAAAAATTTTTTGTCATGGTACGGGTGTAAGAACCCGACCATTGATTGATGTGAGGAGGTAGACAGAATAGAACTAATGAAATCAAATGTCGGTCCTTTTAAACGATTTTTCAAAAGTGACAGTTGACAAATGTCATATATAGGAAATAGAGATTGTTTTTTAAATTCTTACAAAATTATTTAATAGTTTGGAATTACTAATAGTCATCAAAGACTTTCTAAAAATTAAGTTTTTAAATTAAATTTTATGTGTTCATCACATCATACAGAATGACATTAGTTTGTAAATTCACTCAAGTCATTGCTCAAGGTCAATGTATGTTCAATCTGACAGTCATCCTTAAGAAACAAGGGCTCAAATTGTTCAACAATAATATAAAGAAGAAACATGGTAAAAATGTTACATTATCTGATACTTAAGTGTATTGAGTATTGTATCTCTTGATGGAAATTTGTAAGAAATTTGCATAAAAAATTTTTTAAGAATATATTTTCATGTTTCAATTAAGAATAACTGTCAAATGAATTACAAAATATTGTAAATTTCTAATAAAATTTTACTTTTCAGAAGTAGAAAAGGAATGATTATTAAATTTAATGTGATATCCAAAGTTTGATTTTTCTGGGTTATTGAGGTGTTCTTTGATTCAGAGTTCTCATTGTTCTACCTACATAAGTCATATTACAGTCACCACAGGACAGCTTGTAAATACCACTTCTGTTTAGTTTGTCAACTTTGTCTTTGGTCTTGCTGAAGATGGACTTGATGTTATGTTTGGTTTTAAAGGAGATGTTTAAGTCACTGATTTTATTAACAAGTACTCTTGAAATTTTTTCTGAAATTGGTCCTAAGTATTCTTCCTCCCATTTATTTTGGTCAATGGTTTTTCTTTGTAGAAGGTTATTGATGATTGGCATGGTGTCTAATCTGGGAACATTGGTGAACAGATTTGTTACATCGAAAGAGACCATAGTGAAGTTATTCGGAAGAGTATGTGAAGAAATTTTGGAGATTTTTGGAGAAATTTGGAGTGTTGGCAATAGTATACTATTGCCAACACTTTAGATTTAATCTCCAAAATTTCTTCACATACTCTTCCGAATAACTTCACTATGGTCTCTTTCGATGTAACAAATCGGTTCACCAATGTTCCCAGATTAGACACCATGCCAATCATCAATAACCTTCTACAAAGAAAAACCATTGACCAAATTAAATGTTCACAAATTACTTCTCTACTCCAATTTTGCCTTTCCCAAGATTTCTTTATCTTTAACGATAAAATTTATAGACAACCAGAGGGTTTAGCAATGGGAAATCCTTTATCTCCTCTACTTGCAGATCTTTTTCTAGACTCTCTCGAAACTAACTTTGTTCATTCTCAACCACAAATAATCCTATGGTACAGATATGTGGATGACATTTTAGCCTTTATAGAAGGCCCACCTTCAGAACCTCACAATATTTTGTCAATAATTAATAATCTACATCCTGCAATTAATTTTACCTTAGAAGTAGAAAGCAACAACATTATCAACTTTTTAGATCTAACTATCAAAAAGAATGCTTCCTCCTCTTCTTCTTTGCCTACACTAGAATTTTCAATATTCAGAAAACCTACTCAAACTGACCATATGATACCAACATCCTCAAATCACCCTTTTCAACACAAGATGGCAGCTATTCAATGTTATGTCCACAGACTTCTTAATATCCCTATGTCTCAAGAAAATTACAATAAAGAAATCTCCATCATTAAACAGATAGCAAACAACAATGGTTTTCCTTCTACTACTGTTGATAAAGTCATTAGAAAATCTATACTCAAAAAGAGACTGAACCAAGCTTTTAATGTTGATAAAAAATCCAACACTACTTCCATATATAGATCCTTATCTTACTTAGGACCAATTTCAGAAAAAATTTCAAGAGTACTTGTTAATAAAATCAGTGACTTAAACATCTCCTTTAAAACCAAATATAACATCAAGTCCATCTTCAGCAAGATCAAAGACAAAGTTGACAAACTAAACAGAAGTGGTATTTACAAGCTGTCCTGTGGTGACTGTAATATGACTTATGTAGGTAGAACAATGAGAACTCTAAATCAAAGAATCAAAGAACACCTCAATAACCCAGAAAAATCAAACTTTGGATATCACATTAAATTTAATAATCATTCCTTTTCTCCTTCTGAAAAGTAAAATTTTACACAACATTCCCAATAAAAACTTTAGACTCATGAATCTTCTTGGAAGATCTTGAGATATCCAAAGAAATGAAACTAAACCCTGATTGTTGCTTAAACACACAAATCAACCTCAATTGCAATTATAAACCTCTTTTTAAATTATTATGGGAGACTTTAGAGGAAGAAGAGTGACCTCATGCAATATTATTATATTTTTTCATAATTTTATATTTTTAACCAAAATTTTAAACTTTATTAGAAATTTACAACATTTTGTAATTCATTTGACAGTTATTCTTAATTGAAACATGAAAATATATTCTTAAAAAATTTTTTATGCAAATTTCTTACAAATTTCCATCAAGAGATACAATTCTCAATACACTTAAGTATCAGATAATGTAACATTATTACCATGTTTCTTCTTTATATTATTGTTGAACAATTTGAACCTTGTTTCTTAAGGATGACTGTCAGATTGAACATACATTGACCTTGAGCAATGGCTTGAGTGAATTTACAAACTAATGTCATTCTGTATGATGTGATGAACACATAAAATTTAATTTAAAAACTTAATTTTTAGAAAGTCTTTGATGACTATTAGTAATTCCAAACTATTAAATAATTTTGTAAGAATTTAAAAAAGAATCTCTATTTCCTATATATGACATTTGTCAACTGTCACTTTTGAAAAATCGTTTAAAAGGACCGACATTTGATTTCATTAGTTCTATTCTGTCTACCTCCTCACATCAATCAATGGTCGGGTTCTTACAACCGTACCATGACAAAAAATTTTTTCAATTTTTTAATGTGTCTGTGAAGTCCAGTGTCGGTTTTATTTATATGTTTTTTAAGAATTTTAACAACTAAAAAATCATAATTTCGACATATAAGGAAATGAGATCTCTCCATTGTAGTGGTATTTATAAATTGACGTAAGTTAAAAAATTAAAATCTTCACCAATTAGTACTTATAAGAACATTTTATTGTAGCATAGCTCCGATGATGGCTTTGTAAAGCCGAAAGTGCTCAGCTAGGAATTGTTTAAAATATACACACTTCAAAAATACTTTTTTACATTTTCTTTTGAATATACAAAAAAGCAAACCAAAGGAGAGTTTAAAATATACAGAGAATTATTGAACGATAAAACAAAATTTCACGATTATTTTAGAATGTCGCTGTACTCTTTTTTTATTTTCTTTTTACTTTAATACATATAAAAAACCATAACATACTAACCGCACAACATCTCCTGCATGTTTGTTTACCAGCACTCGCGTTAAAATTGTTTATACAACTCCGTGCCGTCCGTGCATCGCCAGTGCCAAAATCAAAAATATGGTTTGGGATTAATTTCACGTCGGGCACAGACGGTCCCGTCCGGAAAACGCCAATGTATAAATATACTCATATACATTATTGTATACCGATAAAATCCATATCAAAGATCTCTTAAATATATGTTATAATTCAATTAATTATTGTTCTGAAGCTATTTTCTTGTGGCATTGTAAATTAATTACTATTTAACTGGGAATAAGCCACAATTAAAGACAAAAATACGTTTATTGCCGTTTCAATTTCCACTTCGGAAATCGTTCTCAAAATACAAAATTATTTTTCAGTATTTTGAGAACGATTTCCGAAGTGGAAATTGAAACGTCAATAAACGTATTTTTATCTTTAATTGTGGCTTATTTCCAGTTAAATAGTAATCAATTAATTTATTGTAAACACATTTACTACTATATTGGTTCATATTTTGAAGTGCATAGACAAAATCCATGTTTTTTCGTTTTTAAGGAATCGCTTGTTTCTCTATGACTTTAGTTTTGAATACTAATCGTGTAAAATGTAGCAAAAGTTATAAATAATAAAGTGTTCATTGATAATGGCAATTCACCGATAAGACAAAAATATTAAAATTCACAGTCATGAAATTTATGAATTTATTTAGAATATAACATTGAATATTTAAAAATTGATTACTTTAACATTGAGGCAATTAAACTCCAATGAATTTTTTTTGTGAATTTTAGGAAGACGTGGATGCTGGTGCTATAATAGCCCAAGAATCAGTCCCTATAGAGCTGGATGACACCGTACATTCCCTTACAGAAAGAATAAAAACCGCCGAGCACAGAGCTTTTCCGAAAGCGTTAAAACTTCTAGCTTCGGATAAAATTAGATTAGGAGACGATAATAAAATTATCTGGTCTTGAGATGTTATTATGAAATAAACTTTTATATTTTGTAAATGACTTTTGTTTTTGTTCTGATTGAGAAATATTTGCAATAATTCGATAAGCATATTGACCCCGCTGACGGATTCTGTGTTTTATTTTTAATTTTATTAGTTTATTTGAACTGTAAGTACGAATATTAAAGATGAGTGAACGTTTAAGTGAACGTGATAATGCCATTGTGAATTGTATTTTTAATCCAAATTTGCCCATTGGAGAAAGTATCGATTGTAGTGAGGAACTGAAAGGTAAGGTATTACAGATTGCTGTATTTATGCATGATCGTTTAATTTGTTTATTTTTTTTGTCGATTGGGAATCATGGTTATTCGATGTGTGCATTTATCGTATTAGATAAAAATTAACTTTAATTTGGTGTACATAATAATATATTTTAACGGCGGTTTTGATATAGCCAGAGCAGCTCTTAGAAGTATAACTGAGTCATCTGCTACTTGTTGGTCTTACGATATATTAGAAAGATAATTTGCTAAACCACCTACAATTTACCGTTGAGGTTAAGCAAGAACAAAGTGTTTCTTTTTAGACACTAAGGTGGTATGAACATCAGAGAATAAGATCATTTTTAATTGGTATCAGAAATTAACTGACTCTTTATTATTAACTGACGAAGATTTATAAATTATTTCTCAGCACTCAAAAAGCTAAAAACATAACACTGTTGTTGCGATGAAGAATTTTGCACATTAGCAAGATATTTTCTTACAAAAGAATTTAAAAACATTATAGAACATATTTTTGAATAACGGATATTCTAGTAAAATTCTTAAGCAAATAATCTACAACTCAGACTTAAATGACCGGCAATGTCACAACAAATCCCGTTATTTACAAAAAGCTACCCTACGTAAAAGGCTTAACTAACAATAAAATCAAGTTGCTGAGTGGAAGGTTTGTTGAACGCGCCAGAGCGTGAGTGGCGCTTGGCTCTAGTATTTGTAAACATATGCCGTACGACGCGCTAGTGCGTTTTGTAAATAATACTGATAAAAATAAGTTTTAATAGGAATATTTATTTACTAATACAAAACAAACCAAGAAATAACATAAACTATAGGAATATGAGAGCAATCAAAAACGCAAAAAATGGGAAAGCCCCTGGCCCCGATGACATACATACGGAAGTCATAAAGCTACTGGAAGAGAAACATTTAAATATAATCGTCAAATTATCTAATCAAATATATACAAGCGGTGAAATTCCACAAGACTGGTTAAAATCAGTCTTTATTCCCCTTCCAAAAACTAAGGGAGCAAAGAAGTGTGGTGATTTCAGACTTATTAGTTTAATGTCGCATATGTTAAAGTTATTCTTGAAAGTTATTCACCAACGCATTTATAAGAAATGTGAACAGGATATCAGTGATGAATAATTTGGCTTCCGATATGGATTTGGGACACGGGAAGCATTAACCAGTTTTATTATACTACTGCAAAAATGTCGAGACCAAAAAAAGATCTCTTTTTATGTTTTATTGACTATCAAAAGGCCTTCGACAAAGTAAAACATGATAAGCTGATGGATTGCCTTCACAAAAAGGGACTAGACGAGAACGATTTTAAAATTATCCAAACGCCGTATTTTAACCAAACTGCAGCAGTTAGAACAGAAGCCGGTGACACAGAAATATTCAATATCAAGCGAGGTGTACGACAAGGGTGTGTATTGTCACCACTACTTTTCAATATATATTCGGAAGAAATCTTTGCACGAGCACTAGAGCAATCAAGAGAAGGTGTTAAAATTAACGGCAGAGTTCTAAATAATGTACGATACGCCGACGACACGGTCCTAATTGCAGAGAGCGCACAAGATCTCCAGACACTCTTAGATCGCGTCAGATCGATCGGAGAACAATACGGCCTCAGCATTAACGTCAAGAAAACAAAAACAATGATTGTCTCCAAAACATCCATCCATCCACCCATGGATTTAAACGTGAATGGTAACACTATCGAAAATGTCGAGAAATTTCGATATCTAGGGTGCTGGATAACGAAAGATATAAAAGTAAATTCATTTAGCAAATTCCCATCTGTAAACTTACCCACGTGTTGATATTCGCCTTCTCATTCGTCAAGAGGCTATTAAATATAATTTATTGCCTTAAGCCAGACGGATTCTCATGTTACAGATCCTAACTTGCCGGTGTGTCTAAATTCAAATTGTAGCGTGTTGCTTTTAGGTTAATATATTGTGTGTTATATGTTATAGTTATTGTTAAGTTATTTACTGGTCGTGTTATTTTTTTGAGTTTAGTTTAAGTGTTAAGTATTAAGTTTTATAGTGTGTAGTGAACTTTTAGTATCCAAAAACAAAGTATTTGTTAATTAAAAGTAAAAATAGCTAGCGGCAATCAGTTTAATAAAGGTAAGAGAAACCAATATTTTAATTTATTTTTATTTCCTTTTTAGTCTATTTATTCACGGTTTTTGCTGTAACTATTAAAGAACCGCTTGGATTGACATGCAATTTGGCATATACATAGCTAACGGTAAAAAAAGTGATATTGTGCCGATGTGTGCTTTTGTCATGGGTTGTTTGTCAAAAAACATGCGTTAAAATAAGTCTAGAATAAAATAAACTGACTAATTCTAAGCAACTCTTATTTTATACACTTTTTGCACAATCAAGTCAATACTTATCGAGTTATTTGCGAGTGAATATGATCATTTTCAATAAAAAAACACGTTTTTTAGATGGTTTTCCGCAAATAGCTCAAAAAGTAAGTATTTTATCGAAAAACCAGATTCTTAGCAAAAATATAGCTTTTAAAAAATGATATACTTATACCTATATGAAGTCTGTAGACTCAGTAAAAGCAGAGTTGTAGCTAATGAAAAGTAATTCAAATCGAACATTTCAACGAGAAATATAAAAAAAATGAAGCATTTTTCGGGGAAAACTCGCTGTCGGGGAAAGTAAAGTGCTTGTTTTTTTATTCTTTCACGTTCAAATATTCGATTTGGTATTTGACGAATAGGAACCTTTATACGTACACCATTTTTTTTGCTATTTTATAAGCTATATTTTTGCTATGAATATTTTTTCGATAAAATACTTACTTTTTGCAAAAACCGTCTAAAAACCTTGTTTTTTTTGTTGTTGAAAAATGAACATTCACTCGCAAATAACTAGAAAAGTATTGACTCAGTAAAAAACTCTATAGAACAAAGGTTGCTTAGAATTAGTCAGTTTATCCAATTCTTGATTTATTTTGAAAGTATCTTTTTTCACCCCTGAGAATGGGTGAAACTCACCCCTAGGGCGAAAACACACATCGGCACAATATTACTTTTTTTTATTTAACATGTTAGCTATGTGTATACCAAACGTCATTTCAATCCAAGCTGTTCTTTGGGAAGGTTTTATCGTGAGTGAATGGAATATTTCTGGACTTGAAAAAGTATACAGAATGCAGTTTCATAACTTTACCGATAATTTCGGTGATGCTGGTTTTAGTACAATACATATTATTTTTCCCTAGGCTAGTTTAACATTCTCTCAACCAATTAAGTACATTAAGTTATTGAAGATAAATAGAATAACAAAAATGTCAAGCACTGATACAGCCGATGAACTCGTTGATGTTGATTTAAACCTCACTCCACCTAAAAAAAGACCAGTAAAGGGACATTTTGACATTAAAACGAAGGAAATGATTAGGAATGTATTTAAAATGGAAATGCAGGAGAACCCTACAATGTCGAAAAGTGCCATCTCTATTAGAGTAGCAGATAAAACAGGTACTGATATTGTTTCGCCATTATTTATTTTAGAGTGCGCATTTTCACTTCATTTAACAAATATTGTTACTTTTTATCTATTGTAGGCGTGTGTAGCCGTAGTGTACGCAATGTGGTTCACGAATATGAAATTACGGGAACATTGTCGACACCAAAATCAGTGGAGCATCGTAGAAGTATTGTTAACTCGCTGGATGAATTTGACCGAGAAGCAATAAGAAGAATCATCCATCAATTCTTTTTTCGAAATGAAATACCCACAATAGATAAAGTTCTGAGGGTTGTTAATGAAGATCCGGTTTTGCCTAACTTCAAAAGAACTACATTTTTTAAATTATTGAAAACAATAAATTTTAAGTTTCAACGTCGTCAACGAAACAGCATTTTGATGGACAGGGACGAAATTGTCTTGTGGAGACGAGAATTTCTGATAAAAATTAAGTCCTACAGAAATGAAAACCGAAAAATTTATTACTTAGACGAGACTTGGCTAAACGCTGGTCATACCAAATCTAAAGTATGGGTCGACAATTCGGTAACATCTTATAAACAAGCGTTTTTAGATGGACTTTCTACGGGGTTAAAAAATCCAGCAGGTAAGTGTTTATGTGCTTTTTCACTTCAAGTAATTTTTAAAATAATAAAATTTTCAGGAAAAGGAAAAAGACTAATAATCTGTCACATTGGCAGTGAAGATGGGTTTGTTCCAGAAGGGCTATGGGTGTTTGAATCAAAAAAAAGTGGGGACTACCATGAAGAGATGGACGGGAAATCTTTTGAAAATTGGTTCAAAAATATACTGCCCCGATTAGAAGACAACTCCATTATCGTATTGGACAACGCATCTTATCACTCAAGAAAATTAGAAAAAATTCCAACTACTGCGTCTAGAAAAGCTGACATCCAAGCGTGGCTGAAATCAAAAAATATAGGGTTTGAGGACTCCATGTTAAAAGTGCAACTGCTGGCTATTGTTAAGGAACATAAGGGACAGTATAATAAATATATCATCGACGAGATGGCAAAAAGCCAAAACAAAGTTGTGTTAAGGCTGCCCCCATACCATTGTGAGCTCAATCCAATTGAGCTCATCTGGGCAGAAGTAAAAAATTATGTAGCAGCCAAAAACACTACTTTTAAATTTGCAGACATGAAAAATCTTTTTTATGATGCAATAAATAATATTAGTCCAACTACGTGGCAGAAATGTGTGCAACACGTTCAACAGAAAGTCGAGTCCAAAATGTGGAAGTTGGATAATATAATAGAAAACCATATCGAACCTATAATAATAAATCCAGACGAGGACAGCAGCACATGTAGCTCCTCAGACTCTGAGTAATTTAAATGGTATGTTGGGCAATGATTAGTTTAGAGCACACAACATAACCAAATATATTTTCCTCAAGGCACCATATCACAGTGTTGCCATTTTTTTTTGTAAAATATGTATATTAATGTTTATATTTTAAAGTTACTTT